GTTATTTCTCATAATTTAAAAAAAAATTTGCAATTTTTTCTCAAATTTTCTAAAAAGTTACTGTTTTTTTGCTTGTAAACAAACCAATTTTTTTCATTTGAAATGTAGAAATTAGCACATATTTTTGTTTTCAATCAGAAGTTTTTCAATGTAAACCATGTTTTAGCAATTTTTGTCCACTTTTTTGTAACTGTTGAATTTCTCAGTTGAAAAAAAGAATTATAAAGTGGCCTTATTTTTCATTATTTTTTTTTGTAAATTTTGTGCAAATTATTAATTAATCCTCAAAAATTATTGTTTTTTTTTGCTTACAAATTAACCAAATTTTTTTAATTGTTATTTTATTTAAAATGTAGAAATTCACAAATGAATTTTATTTTTATCTAATTAGAAGTTTTTCAATGTAAACCAAGCTTCAACGACATTTGTCTACTACTCCAAAAATCAAAATTTATTGCAACTTTCTTTCTTCAACAAAATTGAAATAGTCATCGTTTAAAAAAATATCTTCAAAAATTAACCAAATTTTTCAATGTAAACCAGGTTTGAGCGACTTTTGTCCATTCCATGTTGACTAGATCTGAAATAGCAAATAAAATTTCCGTAGATTATCAATAAATTAGCGTTTCCCTCGACCTTTGATTGCCCTAATCGATCGCCTTTATCACACACTTATCTCAAGAACCCTCGACTCCTATCACCAGGTCCGTGGCGGTTTCGTGGGCAAACCCCTCCATCTCGCCGGCGGTGAATCGGAGCCCCTTCGTCCGGAAGAACTCCGCCCCCAAATCAACCTCTCTCAACTCCACCAATCCCGTATCGGCCTTCTGAGCCAAGCATTGATGCTCATCACCATCGTCGGTTTCCTCTTCTCGGAAACCCTCTCCGAATTCTGGAAAACCAAAGTCCCGATTGTCTCCCGCAATTGGCACGACGTCGTCTTCAGAGTGGTCGAAATCGGCGTGGCGGTTTGGTTCCCGGCCGTCCTCTGGAACTGCATGCAGCCCTCAGAACTATGGATTCTCAATCCGCAAAAACTCTTGGCGAAATTGGACCAAAAGCCCCCCCAGGAGGTGGTGAACGCCTCGACGATGAGTTCCGACGATGAAGCTTTCTTAGATAAGCGCGAATGTTGGATTTGCTATGATGTTGATAAGCCTGAGCCGTTGATACAGCCGTGTGCGTGCACGGGGGATGTCTCCAGTGTCCATCATGATTGTCTCAGGAGGTGGCTGATGGAGAGCTCAGCAGGGAGCACTGAGACACTCAAATGTAAAGTCTGCAATTATGAGTATGAAGTTTGTAGTACGACGAAACTCGATTGGGAAAGGGGGTTCACCTCCAAGCATTGGGGCTGTAATGCGGTGGTTGTTACTTGTCTTTGTGTTGTCGTCGCAGTGGCTTGGATTATCATACAATTGTATGATAATAGTTACATTAGGATGCTGAGTGCGAGTGTGGCACTACTGGTCATCTATATCTGTATCAAGTAAGTTGGTAACACTGAATTGATTTTTTTTGTGTGTGAGTCGGCTGTGACTTAAAATCAGTTGATCAAAGAGTGACGTTTACAGTATTGCCAAGTTTGGTGATTTAGTAAATGAAAGAAAGTAAACACTATGTTTGCATTTTTTTTCAGTAACTTGATTATATCGACAAATTTTCTCAAAAAATTCGACAAACCACCAAATTGGTTAAAAATAGTTCTATTTGTTTTTTTACGAGATTTTACTACTAGAGGAAAATCGTAATTTATTTTTTCACCTAGAAACAGAATTATTTCGCGAAATTTCGATAAAAACAAGCCAAAAATTCAACAAAATAGAGCAAAAATTTTAAAAATTACAAAATTAATTACGAAATTGATATTAATGTTTAGCTTGTTTCACTGGACTTATTTGTTTTTGAACCAAAAACTCATTAATTTTTTTGTATATAATTTTGTCATAAATGCTTTTAACCTCGTTTTTATACCAAAATTTTAGTTTTTTTGCGAAATTTTGTAAAGACGCCAAAAAATCTATAAATTAAGTCGAAGATAATATTTTCTCTCATTTTTCGAACGTTTCAGCACATTTTTCAGCTATCAAAGCAATTATTTTGCAGAATTTTGTTAAAAACAACTTGAAAATGAAAAACTGGACCAAAAAAAAAACAAAAAAATGGAAAAAACTTGTTTAGAGATTAAAAAATTACAAAATTAAATCGAAATTGATATTATTTTTAGTTTATTTGGTTAAATCATTTTTACAAATTTTCTCAAAAAAATCGAAAAACCACCAAATTGGTTACAAATAGTTTGTTTTTTTTACAAGGTTTTACTATGTTTAGTAGAAAATCATAACTTATTCTTTTCTTTTTTTCAGCTAGGTCTAGGAACACGAAATTTCGATAAAAACTAGCCAAAAATGGTATTATTTTTAAACACGATTTTGAGATTAAAAGAATTCGTTTAAACAGGCCTAAAAATTGCAAAATTAAATCGAAATTGATATTAATTTTTAGCTTGTTTCACTCGACTTATTTGTTTTTGAACCAAAAACTCATTTATTTTCTTTGTTTCACTCGATTTAATTGGTTTTTGATCAGAATTAAGTCAAAAATAACTCGAGGAACTACTAAATTTTGTCATAAATGCTTTTAACCCCGCTTTAGTACCAAAATTTCAGATTTTTTGCGAAATTTTTCTAAGACACGCCAAAAAATCTATAAATTAAGTCGAAAATTATATTTTTCTCACATTTCTCCAAAGTTTCAGCACATTTTTCAGCTATCAAAGCAACTATTTTGCAAAATTTTGTTAAAAACAAGTTAAAAATAAAAGACTGGACCAAAAAAATTACCAAGAAAATGAAAAATCTTGTTTAAAGAGGTTAAAAAATTACAAAATTAAATCGAAATTGATATTATTTTTAGCTTGTTTCGCTAAATTTACTTTATTTTTTAACTAGAGGCCGATTTATTATGCAACGCCCAAAAATCACAAAAATAAATTGAAATTTATATTATTTTTCAATTTTTACTATGTTTAGTGGAAAATCATAATTTATTCTTGTCTTTTTTCAGCTAGGTCTAGGAACTCAATTATTTCGCGAAATTTCGATAAAAACTAGCCAAAAAAACAACAAAATAGGCCAAAAATGGTGTTATTTTTAAACGCGTTTTTGAGATAAAAAAACATTTCGTTTAAACAGGCCTAAAAATTACAAAATTAAATCGAAATTGATATTAATTGTAAACTCATTTATTTTCTTTGTTTCACTCGATTTAATTGGTTTTTGATCAAAATTAAGTCAAAAATAAGTCGAGGAACTACGAAATTTTGTCATAAATGCTTGTAACCCCGTTTTTGTACCAAAATTTCAAGTTTTTTGCGAAATTTTGCTAAGGCACGACAAAAAATTTATAAATTAAGTCGAAAATTATATTTTTCTCGCATTTCTCGAAAGTTTCAGCACATTTTTCAGATATCAAAGCAATTATTTTGCAGAATTTTGTTAAAAACAAGTTAAAAATGAAAAACTGGACCAAAAAAAATAACAAGAAAATGGAAAAATCTTGTTTAGAAGTTAAAAAATTACAAAATTAAATCGATATTGATATTATTTCGCTCAATTTAACTGTTTTTTGAGCAAAATTAAGATAAAAATAAGCCGAAAAAACACAAAATTTGATCGAAACGCTTTTAAATGCGTTTTTGTAGTAAAATCTCGCAAAATTTTGCCAAAACAAACTAAAAAATGAACAAATCAACTCGAAAATTATATTATTTTTGCATTTTTAAAACGTTTAAGCACGTTTTTCAGCTAGAAATACTATTATTTCGCAAATTTTTTCAAAAACAAGCCAAAATTTTGCCAAAAATGTTGTAATTTTTGTTTATTTCGAGAGTTTAAGCGGATTTTTAAGCTGAAACGTTCGTTTTTTGAGACACACTGTTGGAAAAAATTTCAAGTTTTTTGCTAGATTTTAGTACGTTTTTCAGCTAGAAACGCAATTATCTTACAAAATTTTGTTAAAAACAAGCCGAAAATTCATCTGATTCGGCTAAAAGTAATGCTATTTTTGCATTTTTTGAGTGTTTAAGTCCGTTTTTGAAAAACTTTTTTTCGATTTTTTTTTATTAAACTGGCTAAAAAATTATAAAATTGATATTATTTTTTATCTTGTTCCGCTCATCTTACTTTGTTTTGCAAAATCTTGTCCAAACACACTTAAACATCACAAAATGTTTATTTTTAGAGGGTTTTTTAGCTTAAAACGCAATAATTTTTGGAAAATTTTGATAAAAACAAACCGAAAAACTACAGAATCAGACTGGAAATGATATCATTTTTGCTTTTTTGAAGCTTTAAACAGATTTTTTAGCAGAAAATTGCGAAACAATTATTTTTGAGTTTAAGCAGGTTTTTAAGCTGGCAACACCGTTTTTTCAAGTCAAAAACTTTCGACCCTCTTGGAAAATTTTAAATCTTGTAATCTGGTGAAAATAGGTGTAAGTTTGGCAACTCGGCTCTGTTGAATTTTATTTTTTTTTGGACCGGCAACACTGGACAAAATCAGTGTTGCCAAATTAAAATTTCATGGCCTACTTGATGAATTGTTTTTTTTTGTAGGTTTTTGGGGCAGACGACGTTGAGCGCCTACCAAAGGGCCAAAGTGGCCGCTTTGAACATCGGTGGTCACGTGACGACGATCAGTGGAGCCGTCAATATCGAAACAAACGATTCTCAGCCGCAAGCAGCATTGTAATTGTTTTAAAAATGTGATATTTATCGATGTATTATTAGCCGATTCAATATTGTGAACTGTTTAATTTTTTTTTTTCGTACTAATTGATTAGAGTGTAGGAAGCATGTTATTGTCGTTTTTAAGTATATTTACTTAGTTGTTGGAGTTTTTATCTACTGAAGTGAGATGCCAAGTGTATATATTTCGTTCTCACTATATAGGTTAGGATTTAAGTTTGGGTCCTGTCACTTTTTGTATATATAGGTTATGCGATTAGAATTTTAATTTTTGTTTAACCCGATCTAAATCTGTGTTAATGTGGTAGAAATAAAAAAATCTCAGCGATAGTGTGACTTTTATTGAAATTAAGTTGGCTAAATACACAGTATTGCCAACTATTGAAACTAAACAGTTCCTGTCATGATGTTTTTGACATTGACGTCAAAAGACTTGGAACAAATTGGTTCTCCCGGAATGTAGAAAGGATTACACACAATATCGGCATATTCCGAATGCAGTTTTCTAAACATCTAAAATGTCAAAAAATTTAAAATTGTCAAAAAAATCAAAAACTTACTGATCTAATTTCATTATCCCTAAGCGCCATATTGGTCGAATCCACGACTATAACAAACTTAATTTTCGTATTTGTGACGTAGCCATAACTAAAACCCCCAATTAAACCAAAAATTTACAATTTTCGCTCACATTTTATGCGTTTCGAGTGAGTAAAGCATCCCTAAGTACAACTCCCGCAAATCATTAGCCCCCTTATTCCCCGCATTCAACTTCTCCTCGATCACATCCAACGACGACAAAACTTTATACTGAAAACTCAACTCCTCGTCCGGATTCAAACAGCTGAAATATTTCGGCGAGTTCTGCAACCAAACCTTGATTAGTGCGGTACAGCTATAGCGTATTTTGACAGCTGTCACAACAACAACTCGAGACCAAGTACCACAACTGAGGGCTTTTAAATGTGGTTTTCAGCGACTAATTAGCCAATTAGCGTCCACCGTGCGGGAAATTGTGAAAAATCGGTGAGTAAATCCCCGATTATTACTTACATCTTTGCCAACAATTGCCACACAAACCGCCATGTTGTGTTCACAGCCGCACCGCGGCGATCAAGTCGTGGCCGATTAGCCAAAATGGCGGAGCAACGCCCACTGGATGAACGGTCGAAAGCGAGTAGGGAGAAGGCATTTGTTCGGTTTATTAACCTAACCGAACGGACGGTTGAGGTGATTTGGATCAACTTCACGGGGGCTTATGTCAGCTATCAGTTGTTGGAAAGTGGCGGTTTTGTCGATGTGAACACTTATAAAGGGCACACGTGGATTGCCATTGACCATAAAACTAGAGATAGGTTGCAAATTGAGAAGCAGTTTGTTTATTACCCCAAAACGACGAAAGACTACTTGAAAAATCTGTACAACAAGGATGGGGTCAGATGGGACATTATTAGGCCCGATTTTGAGGCTAGGATTAAATGTGTTATCACAATCCCTGTCCATAGTTTACGCTACACATGTTTGTTGGCAATACGGAATTTTCTGGGAAGTCCCGAAGATGCTGACAGGTTAGAATTACCCAAACAACTGACCGACGATTTAAAAAAAGTTGTTCTCCAACGAAACAACCAAATTATACACACGTTTATCAGAATAGGAGATTAAATTCATAGTTCAGTGTTGTTAAGTTGGTAAAAGCGTCATATGGTGAATTTTACATTTTAAGATTGTCAGCATTGACATGTCACGTGATCTAATACCATCTATGTCCAAATGTTTTAATTAATTCAATTATTTTCACATTGACATTTGTTTATACATATAAAAAATTATTTTTTTATTTTTATAAATTCTTCTATATTGTTTTATTTATATTTTACAAGGGTTTAAATAAGAGACAAGTTAAAAAAATATAGTTTTATTTTCAACAAGTATAGTTTTGCATAAAATATGGCCAAGTTACTGGGTGTATAAATGCTTAAGTACCAGCCTTCCCGTCATACATACATCATTACTTCTGAAACCCGTTAGGATTCTGCTTTTGCCAATTCCACGTGTCCCGACACATCTCATCCACACCTCTAGTCGCCGTCCAATTTAACTCTTTTTTGGCCAAAGAAGGATCAGCGAAACTACTCGCTATATCCCCTTCTCTTCTTTTAACTATTTCATAGTTGATCTTCTGACCTGAGGCTCTCTCAAAAGCATTGATCAAATCTAATACTGAATAACCTTGACCCGTGCCCAAATTATAGGCCTTCCAGCCCTTGAAACCACTCTCGTTCATTTTTTCAAGGGCCTTCAAATGCCCTATTGCCAAGTCCGTGATGTGGATATAGTCACGGACCCCAGTCCCATCTTTGGTTGAGTAGTCGTTCCCGAAAACGAACACCTTCTCTCTACGACCTATAGCTACCTGAAATCAAAGGAAACAGATCAACCAATTGGCTCCACCTTCCCATACGAACCAGAAAATTATTCAAGAACCCACATTTAACAACTAGGGCTTACAGACGCGAATAAGACATTGTTTTATCATTTTTTACAATTATTTAGCAACGATTTCATAGAATAATCAGTGTTTTTTCATAAAATTTTATGTCGGTAACATCACTTTCTGTAAGTGAAAAAATATTTGAAAAGACGAGTTAGAACAATTGAAATTTACCGAACCGACAAAAACACTTAATTGTGTTAATTTGTATCAATTTTAGATTTATTTAACACACAGAATTTTATAAAAATGTTTTTTCGTAAACAATGGCTATATCGGTAACATCACTTCCTGTACATCAATGACATTTCAAAAAAAAAAAATTAATAAACGAATTGGCATCGAAATTGGCACAATTCAAACCTACAAAACCTTAAATACATCACAATTTCAATTTTACAATTATTTATGGCCGTATTTCGGGGAAAATTGTAAACTTTGTGATAATTCTCCGTCGATAAGATCGCATCCTGTACGTCAACGCGTGCCCTAACCTCACTTTAGTTTCAGTTTTGTGTTGTGATGGAAGAGCCAAAACTCAACTTCCCCAAACCGAAACATTGTTTTATCATTTTTTAAAATTATTTTGCAACAATTTTAGCGAATAATCGATGTTTTTTCATAAAAATTGATGATGTCGGTAACATCACTTTCTGTACATCAATTACAAGACAAAAATTATTTTAAAAGACGAGTTAGGACAATTTAAATTTACAGAATCCACAAAAACACTCAATTGTGTTAATTTATATTCATTTTAGATTTATTTAACACACGAAATTTTACGAAAATTAAACAATCTCTCTATCGGTAACATCACTTCCTATGCACAATGACATTTCAGAAGAAAAAAAATTAATCAACGAATTGGCATCGAAATTGGCACAATCCAAACATACAAAACCTTAAATACATCACAGTTTCAATTTTACAATTATTTGTGGCCGTAAAATTGTGAATTTTGTGATAATTTTCCGTCGATAAGATCGCATCCTGTACGTCAACGCGTGCCCTAACCTCACTTTAGTTTCAGTTTAGTGTTGTGATGGAAGAGCCAAAACGCGACTTCCCCAAACCGAAACGTTCAAAAACCGATCATGTGAAAAACATCGTTCAATCCTACCTCCAAAAACGCAATTACGCCCCCTTGGGAATCGAAAATTGCCATCCGGACCAACACCTTACTTACTCCCTCATCGAAAACGAAATCAGTCGTCCAAACTCAATCCTCTACAGTTGTTACAACAGTGATTCGGTCGTAATCGACCACAACTTTACCAAATTCCTCACGTGGCTGAAAGACTGCATAAAAACGAAAAATTGCAACGATTTGGAACACCTCATCGCCCCCTTTTTCTGTCACTTATATCTCGACATACTGAAAGGGGGCCACTCGGATCGGGCCGCAAACTTCCTCAAAGCCCATCTACTCGCCATCGACAAGACAAAATGCGACGATTTCGTCAAAGATTTACTCAATTTATTCGCAAACGATTGTGACGCCACCTGCATGATTGAACAATTCCGAAACAACAAATATTTCATCGAATTATCACCACAATCACTTGATTTATTAAAGAAATTCGTTGGGGAGAATTGCCACGTGGTGTTTTTACACGTGCTACAAACATGGTTCGATATCAGAGAAAACGACGAGCAAGATAAGGAAATTAGGGGGGAAATGGACGACAAGGGGGCCCCTCACAATGGTGTTTGTCTCGACGACAAATTCCGCAAGATTCTCGACGCAATCAACGACTTGGAAAAGGAACCAAAACAAATTTTTATTGCCAACATTTCACACACAAATGACCCCATTTCGTGTGCGGTAATTAAACGCAATTGTGGTTTAATTGCTTACAATCAAAATAATGTCGTTCATTTGCGACCGGTGCACTCATTTGACCCCATTTTGGGGCTCCATGACTGCAAAGAAATCAAATTTTATGATCACACGAAACGGGTTTATTCAATCACAATTTCGCCCGATTGTAGTAAACTTGTGACAGGTTCAGAAGACTCAAATTTGTGTCTTTATGACTTGAATGTGATTAAGTTGATTAGGAATTGTGGGGGACACTTGGGCCCCATTTATTGTACTAGTATTAGTAGTAATAGTGTTTATTGTGCATCAGGATCATGTGATACGACAGCCCGACTTTGGGACCTTGAAACGGGGCACAATTTACGTGTCTTTGTGGGGCACACACAAGCCATTACTTGTATTGATTTCCACCCAAATTGTTTGTATGTTGCGACAGGGGGGGCTGATCGTAATATAAGACTTTGGAGTGTTGATAATGGAACTCCTTTGAGACTGTTTCACGGTTGTAAAGGTGTGGTTTATGGGGTTGCATTTAGCCCCCTTGGTGACACACTAGCAAGTGTCAGTGATGATAAAAAAATCCGACTTTGGGATATTTTAAATTCGAAAATTAATAACGAAATCAAGCAAAAGGGGCTTCCGGGTACGAAACTAGTGTGGAGCAGTGACGGTAAACAATTATGTACGGGGGCTATCGATGGGGTTGTCCGTGTGTGGGATTTGCGCCAAATCGATTCAAGTGAGCCCCAAATTGGTTTAAACGTCAATGGAAAAATCCTACATTTGGAGTACTCGTTCGATACGTTCGCTTGTGTTACTTAACTTACCTGAGAAATGTATGGCATTAGATTGTTGGGGGTACCTGAGGGGTCTTCGCCGATCAAGCCCGAAGTGTGCGCCCCCACGGGGTTAAAATACCGCAATAAAATCACTTTCCATTCCTGAAACACGTGCAAATGACTTTCATTTAACCCCAATTGAGATAAGATTACAGCATCTGAAGTGCACACATCTTTGAGGATTTCCTCAACGAAAAATTTCGTTTTTCCATAGGGATTGGTGCAGTTTTGGCCCGTGGGGTGCGTCTCTGTGATGGGGAGGTGTTGGGGGAGGCCGTAAACGGTGGCCGATGACGAAAAGACAACTTTTTTCACCCCATTGTTTTGCATCACTTCGAAGAGGGTGCTCGAGCCGGCGATGTTGTTCTGGTAGTACATGAGGGGCACCTGGACCGACTCCCCGACGGCTTTAAGGGCCGCAAAGTGGATAACAGCGTCGATTTTGTGCTAAAAAACTCGATTAATTTTTATAACAAAAATGTTACATTTACAGTTTTGAAAACTTTGTCCAAGGCGTCTTTATTCCTGATGTCAATGTTGTAAAAAGTGATTTGTTTCTTTGTGATTTGTTCGACGCGTTTGAGGGACTCCGGTTTTTGGTTCTTCTCGGCGTAGCAATTGACGAGGTTGTCGAGGGCTATCACTGAGTAATTATTGTTTAGGAGTTCCACGACGGTGTGAGAGCCGACATAACCGGCGCCCCCTGTTACAAGAATTGTCCCGTTCGGTGCCATTGTCTCCACTGATAGCCACCAACTAGACGAAATTTTGATTAATTGTAAAATTAAAATTTTTGAGGTTAGGACTCACCTTACTTTGTCACGAAACCGACCGGAATTATCACGTAGTACACAGCCACGCTTAAGTAAAGCACAAACAGTGGATTTTGTAATAATTCCATTGTTATCACTTCTTCTTATCACTTTTTGGGTGGGTTAGTTTTATTTGACAAGTGACGTGTCAAGGACGCCATTTTGATAACCCAACATCGAAACCATAAACCGTTAAAAAAAACACAATTAACACGGGAGCCCCCCTGTGCTGTGTACCCCCCTCTTGACTCGTTATTAGAACTCTTGTCTGATTGGTATTTTTTATAGTAGCTTGAAACGATTCGATGTATCAATAACTTCGATGTCAAGTTCGATGTAACACTAAAATTATTAAATGTTTCAATAAAATCATAATTGAAACTCAAATTCCTCCTCACTGTTTTCATTACCCTTCCTGTGTTTAATTTTGGCACAATTGTGTAGTAATAATTTCGTTGTAATTGTTTTTACATCGAATTTTTATTCGATGTTGGTCAGTTTGACAGTTGACGTTTATTTTGACATTTGCCAACAGCCCCAATTGTCTCAAATTTGCGCAAAATTACGCAATTCGCATCGTAAGTAAACACCACAGAGTCGTCACAGACGCGCTTACCCCTTGTGCCCCATTTTCGCAGAATGACAGTGTCCGATTGCGTTTCTGTAGCTTGTGGGTTTCAGATGCCTCCCAGGAAGGGTCGTGTCAAAAAAGAGGGCCCCGAATCGGGGGAGGACTCGGATGAGTACCGCAAGAAGCGCGACCGCAACAATTTGGTGAGATTTGTTGGTTTGTGGCCCCAAAAAAAGACAGTTTTTTAGGCGGTGAAGAGGAGTCGTGTCAAGTCCAAACAAAAGACCCAGGAGACCTTGAACCGGGTCACGAAGCTCCGGAATGAGAACACCGTTTTGGAGGAGAAGGTGAAGACTTTGACGAAGGAGTTGGGGTTCCTCAAGGAGTTGTTTATCGCACATGCGGCCAATAACGTGGATAGTGGGAAGTTTGAAGGGGTGGATTTGCAGCAGTTGTTGGGGGAGGAGACGAGCTCGAGTTCGGGGGAGAACAAGCAATAAGGGGGCAAAGTACAAGTTTTTTAAGTGTGTGTGGAAATTTTACTTGTAATTAGGTGTGACTATGAGGAAATTAATTATGTATTACTTATGTGATCACTTTATTTTAATAAAACACGTTTTTTTATTATTACGAGTCTTATTTCAATTTTAAATAATTGAAATTTTGTAAAAAAAAGTCACTTGACGTGACCTTAACCACAAAATGTTTTTTCTTGAAACAGGACGCTCTAGGAACGTGAAAAACTTCAAAAAACATCGTTACTCGAAATAAATGTGTTAAAACAAAGATTTTGTATTATATTAAATCGTAAAAAAATTAAACTTGCGAAAAAATTGACACGTCAGATGTGACTTTAAACACAAGGATTACAAATGTAATTAAACAAGAATTTTGTGTTACGACAAATAGAAAAAAACAAAATTTGACAAAAAAATAGACACCTTATATTATCGTATCAACAACAAATTACTCCCTAGGAGTTAGGGATATTGGTGAAGAGGTTGTCATAAATTTGGTTAAGTTGGTTTGTAGTGATAAACAAAAGATATCGTAACTAGTGTCAAAAATTTAGGTTAAGTCACCTGTCACTCAATTGATAGTTGACAGGAAACGTCAACCGTCAACAACAAGGGCTAACCAAACCTAGGCATTTAAAATTACTTCTGAAAATTCTAGTTCCAAACAACATAAAAAACGTAATTTTCCTAAAAATTCAAATCCTAGGTGGTAATTTCTTGTTGACAAATCTGTATGTTTGCATCTTTTTCCAGTATTTCCACCTTTCTCAACCACTAACTTGATAATTTCGCCAAATTTTCTCAAAAAAATCGAAAAACCACCAAGATGATTAAAAATAGCTCTATTTGTTTTCTTACGAGATTTTATCATGTTTAGTGGAAAATCATAATTTATTCTTGTCCTTTTCGACATTTTTCAGCTAGAAACAGAATTATTTCGCGAAATTTCGATAAAAACAAACCAAAAATCCAACAAAATAGACCAAAAATTATGTTATTTTTGGAGTTAAAAACAAGAATTTTAAAAATTACAAAATTAAATCGAAATTGATATTAATTTTTAGCTTGTTTCACTCGACTTATTTGTTTTTGAAACAAAAACTCATTTATTTTGTTGTAAATGCTTTTAACCCCGTTTTTGTACCAAAATTTTAGTTTTTTGCGAAATTTTGTAAAGACACACCAATAAATCTATAAATTAAGTCGAAAATAATATTTTTATGGCATTTCTCGAACGTTTCAGCACATTTTTCACATATCAAAGCAATTATTTTGCAAAATTTTGTTAAAAACAAGTTAAAAATGAAAAACTAGACCAAAAAGAATAACCAAAAAAAAGAAGAATCTTGTTTAAAGAGGTTAAAAAATTACAAAATTAAATCGAAATTAATATTATTTTTAGCTTATTTCGTTAAATTTACTTAATTTTACTCAATGTACATAAAACATGTTATGACACGTGACTTTAAACACAATGAATTTTTTCTTGCAACTGGTCGCTCCAGGAACATGAAAACGTCATTATTTATGATAAATGTTTTCAAAGAAGGATTTTATGTTGAGTCAAGCAGAGAAAACATAAAATTTGCGAAAAAATTGTCACGTGAGACGTGACTTTAAACACTTGCAAGATGCACAATTCCAAAATGAAAAAATGTGACCTGTGGTTCATACTTTCACAAGTATTACCTTTTCTAGTAACTTTAAGTACCGGATAACAACAAAACATCACTTTACAGCCTTATATTAGATAATAAATAGATAATAAACTGTTACTAATCGAATTTTCAAGGTTTGCAGAAATGACAAAATGGTGAATTTCACGATTAGGGGTTGGTAAAACACGCCACTTTTTTCTATTATTTCATTCTTGGTGACGCGTTTTATTTGAGTTGAATTTTTTTATAAAAAGTGTCGAAACCCTCGCACATCCATCCTCAAATCCGGGTTAAGGTTGAAAGTCCGGTAAATCTAACTTTTGTTGCGCTATGACCGTTTATCTTCATTTACTCATCCACGTCTTGAAGATGTCATAATATCGCAACCGAAATTATGAAACGTCTCTCTTACCCTTAATCTTAATTGGCTGAGAAAATCAGAATCGAGTCGTAGATTAATCGAAACGATTATTACTCAACCAATAGGAAGACACACAAGACACACTTGACACTTTAAATAAACTGTTAATTAACATGTTGGGTAAGATGTGCTTTTCCGCATTGATTCAACAAATCGCACTGTTTGTTGTTGATTTTCCGATAAAAGGAGCGAAGTAATTTAGTTATTATGCGATCCATTTTTGTAAACGTCAATGCGGAAGTGTTTTAACACAAGGTAGTTAATTAAATCGTTGTAAAACTGTTATTATATCAGCTATTGTTCTCTGATACTGAAACTTTGTTACGTTATGGATTTTATTTCGGGCAATTTGGCAAATTTTCGCAACAGAGGTTATGTGTTTGACACCTGTCAAAAATTTTCCATCTGAATTAATCCAAGACATGACTGTGTGTATGAAAACTCATCAAATTTGAAAAAATTGCAAGTGAAAGTTTAACTTTATTGTCTACAACTCCCTACAAGTGGTATCAAGGTGTTTCTTAACGTTTTTATGAATTAAATAATTTTTAATTACTCGGCGTTCTCACGGCACGATCTCATACTGAAAATTGCGGATTACATATTTTTGATTACATAGAGAAGCGAGGTCAAGAAATAAAATTCGATTAAGGCAAAAAAAAGAAAATTTTAAATTTAGGGAATTTTGCGTCAGTTGGTGACCCGAACTGACATTTGTCATAATTGTGAAAATAAATTTTCAAGGTTTTTCCATCATGTTTCGGAAACTGAAAGTTTGTTGAAAGCAAAAGTGTTACCCACCTCAAAAATAGCCACTAAACCGCAGGTTATAACCTAGTTTTGTGAAATTTGCAATCTTTTTCGTCAATTAAACGATATTAAAAAAAAAAAAAACTCTTTTTCATATTAATGTGCATCAAGTAGGTTGTAGAAAAAAGTCTAAATGAATCTTTAATTTAAGCCCGATTCACACAAAAACTGTCATT